CACAAGTCCATAGAATCAGATGAAATGTGTCAGAGAGAGCTGGCCAGATGATGGAGAGTTGGCTTTGTGATGATATCCAAAAGTCTGTGGCAGGTCCCTGATAACTGGTTTAAATAAAAAATAATAATTAAAAAAAAAAAAAAAAGTTGTCATGCCCATATTTAGGGCAGGCAAAAACGAGGATCTGAATTACAGACTGGCCAGTACAAGCTCGGTTCCTGGGAAGACCCTGAAGCAAATCTGCCTGGAAGCTGCGTGCAAGCTCATGATAGTCAAGGTGATTAGAAACGATCAGCGTAGATTTATTGAGGGCAAAGATTGCCTTTCCAACTTGGTAACCTTTCCATTGAGATGACCAGCTCTGTGGATAATGGGAGATTGGGCCTTCATTTTAGGAAAGCTTTCAAAATAGACTGCCATAATATCATAATCAAATTTTATGAGATATGATTTAGATTAGTGGAGTAGCTGGTGGGTTGTAAAACTGCTTAGCAGACTGCCAATCTGCTAAGCCTGGGCATCAATATGAAGGCCAATAATTGTTAATGCCTTCAGTAATGGCCTACGAGACAGAGTGCAGTTAAGTTGGTGAACTCACAGTGGAGCTGAGTTGGAGGGAATCACTGATACCCTGGATGGTAGCAGTAATATAGTGGGACCTTAAGAAGTAGGAAAAAATGACTGAGAGAAATGTTGTGGAAGCTCAGTAGAGGCAGCAGTGATGTTCTACACTTTTGCTAGGAATCATCTCTGCAGCTGGACAAGCCGAAGTCCTGGGCTGTGGTGGGGGTGGATTAGAAGATGAATGCAAATCAACAGTGCGTCTTGTGGCAGGAGTGCCCAGATGCTGAGGGAAGGAGCCGCAACAAGAGAAGGCTGCCTTGAGATCTGATATCCTAATGCTTTCTGCAGCTGAATGAAGGTGTAAAAAAGGTGAAGCCTGACTCCTCACTAGCACAGTGGTGGCATGAGAGGCAATAGAAACAAGCTGCAAGAAGGGAAATTCTGATGAGACAGAGGAAAAAAATAATGTTCATAGTGAGGGCCCAAGAAAAAGGGTCCAGGGAAGGTGGTGGGATCTCCATCTGTGGAGATTTTGAAAACACAAGAAGGTTGTAAGCAACCTTATCTGAAATAACCATTTTTTGAATGTTAGGGGTTGGGGGGAAGGGAATGGATGACCTCTGGAGACCCCTTTCAAGCTAAATTTGTTTGGGTTTTGTTTGTTTTTGTTCTGGGATTCAGCCTCCCCTGCATCTGCTAGCATTTTACTTTCTGTTTACTGCATCTGACTACTTCTACATAGAAGAATTAGAAATTGCATGCATTACTTGTGGTGTACTTACAGGTCCTTTGGGATGTAATGACTATGAAGAATGGCTACTGGAGATAATAAAGAAAATAATGGTAAAGGAAATGCTCAAGAGAAGGGATGAATGACTTAGAAGCAGTTTGACCAGGAAGAGGATAGGGCAGTGGAATCGTGAAAGAAAGCAAAAAGAGGAGAAATAGTATTTTCCCATTATTAAAATTGCTACTTTGTCTTTATGTTTTCAAACCTTTGGACAAACTACTCTTTCATACCTTCTCTTTTTTTCTTTCCTCTTTGTTTTCTCTTCCTTTGCTCCCATATATGGTGGTAGTTGGCAATTCTAGATGTATTAAATATTTTTAAATACTGGTTTGAGAAATAAAAAAATTATTGTAGTATAAAGGGTTATGCCAATGTTTATTTGCTAACTTCAGTAGGAGTATTCAAAAATACCTTTAATCCATTCTGGGAAAGGCAGGAATCTTAGTATTTGTTTGAAATGAAGGAAATACACACCTTCAAAGTTAAAACTCAAGACAGTAAGCTTTGAAAAAATGATAGATCTTGAAATTATCTTGTTGCAGTTTCAATTGCATAAGCTCTCTGTTGGTTTATGGAAGTCGCATACCGACCCTTTCTATTATTGAATGTTATTTGAAACTTTGTTAATTAACATTCTGTGTATTTGGATGTGAAACTTCATCCACATCTAAACATCTCCAATTATTTCTTCACAGCCTGAAACTGCGCTCCCTTCGAGTGAACGTTGGACAGCTTTTGGCTACAATCATGCCTGATCTAGACTTGCAACAAGTAAATTATGACATTGACGTAGTGGACGAAATTTTAGGACAAGTTGTAGAACAAATGCATGAAATCAGCAGCACTTAAGATACTAAAATTTTCACAGAGCCCTACTTGATCTTCCAGTATAACCTTTATATAAGTTCTGAAGTGTAAATACTTCTTCTTCGCTTTATATATTTCACAGTTTGATCAATAAATGTATATACTCTGTACGTTCAGGTGTTACCACAGATGCAGTGGGTAGTATCTTAATGTCCTCTTAAATGAACACTGTCAATATCGACCAACCTCGATGTACTTAAAGATTTTGCTTTTAAAATGTATTTGTAATTAAATTTGCAAATATTTTTATGATTAAGAATGTTAATACTTTTCTACAAAAGTTTTGGTTGATTTTTGGTCTTATATATGCATTGATACTTGCAATTTTTTTCCTCATCCAAAATCCTAGCAGTGGAATATATTAAAAATGCAAAAAAGGAACCTTGTTGATTTTCTTCCCAGAACAAACCTCAGTAACTTTATTGTAAACTACAGTATTTTCATTGCTATCAACAATGTTGTGTGTTGCATTAATGGTTTAGAAATTTAACTAATAGATGAAAATTTTGGCCATATTGGCAGTATTTATTGTCTTACTACCAAAAGAAGAAAAATTCCTTAGGGGTTTTATCCTGAATATGGATGATCTTTGACAGCCTTTTGGATTTTCTGGTGTTGCTAGAAGACATTTTCTGTATATAATCTTGCAGCATAAACAAATCCATGGGATATTTCAGCCTTACCAGTCTTGGAGACCACATGCCTGTTTGTGTCCTGCCCGTATTACTTGATTGTTACTTCCTCGTTCCAAGAACCAGATTGTATTGGAGTGCAGTCAGATTGATGATTGGTTCTACCCCATGGTTCCCAGTTGAACACAGCAGTACTAGTTTATAAGTCCAGTATGTTCCAGTACGTGAGTTCAAGTGGTCAGTTTTCACATGCAGCTCTTGCCTGCCTATTTTCCAAGTCAAAAGCAATTGGTGATCTGTTGGAGAGAACGTAAACAAAACTAGAGTAGGATTCCTGGAGGACCTCTGTTGTAATACCACCTCTTGAGACGTTAAAGCCTTACTTTAGAGCAGCCAAATGCAGAAAATAATTGACCTGGAGGTCTGTAATGTATACAAATATTTGCATATTTTATCTCAGAAGAAAAAGTGTTGTAGCATTAAGCGAGCAGTCTGCCCTTGAGTCTCTCAGTATGAGGCTTACCTTTCAATCACAATGGGCCATGCTGCACATAAATGTCAGGCTACTCAATCCTTGTTTAACTAGTCAAAGTAGAAATATTTTGAGAAAGAGAGGCATGTTATCTGTGGTGTCAAATGACAGAGTAAGCTAAAGCTGAAGATGTTCAAATGCGATTTGTTTATGCTATCTTAATGTTTAGGCATCTTTTATTACAGGTAAGATAGGTGACTCCTTCTCTTCTTTCCCTCTTATATAGTCACAGTAATTATTAAGCCACTAGTTTTATTATTACAGTGGTGACAGTATTCTTCTCTTCAGCCAACTGCATGCTTTTTCCATTGAGGTCATCAGGAATAAGGGGTGGGCAAAGAGCCCATCTACCTGTTATCTCTGGTGGCATTCATCATCCAAACAGCGATCAAAAAAAACAGTTTTTGCTTTTAAAAAAATAAAATCACGAAACTGCATTCAGTGTTTGTTCCTAGGAATTGTCGATTTTGTAAAGCCAAGAATTTTGGCTTTTGCACTGTTAGCTGTCCATATTTAATTGGATTATGTTCCGTTTAGTTGTAGCTCAGTTTTTTCCAGTGGGCAGTACTTTGATTTCAGGATGCTTTCTGTTCCAGTATGCCAATAAGGATAATGCAATACTGCTTTGCTTCATGATGGCTAAATTGAATGTTTGATTTTTGGAGAGGTGGCTGTAATGTAACTTTTAAAAAGTTTTTCTTTTCTTTTTTTTTTTTTTTTGCTGTGTAGTTTTCCGTTCCTTCATCATTATTTATTATGTTTCATCAGATTCTGTAGTTGAGTTTATTGTAGATGACATAAAATATAGCGTAAGTCTATATTAAAAATGGAAAAATTACAGTGTACGTTTACACTTTGAAGAACAGTGGACTAATGGAAATGCTTTTTATTTGTCAAAATGTATTTTTTGTAAAAAATGAAAATGAAAAAATAAATCTGAATTTGCTGGATCAAAACTTGTCATCAGGTGCTGTGTTTCCCTTATAAGCAAGTAAGACTGTTACCAGCTTTCCTTATGTATGATGCATGTGGGCTTGTTTAGCTTGTAAAAGAGAAGGCTCTGGGGAGACCTCCGTGTGGCCTTCCAGTACTTGAAGGGAGCAGATAAAGGACGGGGAACAACGGCTTATGAGGGTGGATAGTGATAGACAAGGGGAGTGGCTTTAAACTGAGACAGGGGAGGTTTAGGTTAGATGTTAGGAGGAAGTTTTTCACACAGAGGTGGTGAGGCACTGGAACAGGTTGCCCGAGGAGGCTGTGGATGCCCCATCCCTGGAGGCATTCAAGGCCACGCTAGACGTGGCTCTGGGCAGCCTGGTCTGGTTGGTGACCCTGCACACAGGAGGGGGTTGAAACTGGATGATCATTGTGGTCCTTGTCAACCCAGGCCATTCTGTGATTCTATGATTCAAGCCGAGGGGAAAGCCACCTCATTGTGGGTTTGAGAAGCTGTGGAAACCTCCCGCGCTTCCCTGCAGCCGGCCACGCCGCTACCCAGCTGCGCCGTACTGCCGTGCCCCACGCCGCGCCCCACGCCGCTCGCTTTCCATTCCCCGCCCCGTGACCTCAGCAGTGCCACCAGGGGCCGCTGTCGCCCCGCTCGAGCCCGCCCAGAGCCCACACGCATGCGCGGGGCGGGAAACGCGCTCCCGCGCTGGAGCTGGGCCGGGCCGGGTCGCAGGTAGAGGCTGGGGGCGCGGGCGGCCGTTACAGTGGTTGGGACTGAGGGGAGAGGCGCGCGGGGCGGCTGGGTCAGGGGTCCAGATGCTTTCTGTGGGCGTGCGGTGAGGAGCGGCGGGGTCGGGCGGCTTATGTTCTTCCATGCGGTTAAACTGCCAGTTCCCACCGCCGGCGGGCGGGAGCGGCCTCTGTTGGCGGTGCGGGGTCGGGTCGGCCTCCTCCAGGAGGGAAGAGCTGCAGTTCCTGCCCGAAGTGTGCTGCGTGCTGCAGCGGTCGGACAGCAACCTCTGCCGCTGTAATCGCTGCGACCTACAGTGATCTTCTTGAAACTACCGTCCTGTCAGTTCCTGTAGTGCTTGTGAGGTCCACGTTAACTTGGATCGTGGTTATAGGGAGCAGGAATTTAGCCAGGGTTTTGCTCTGTTTTCCTTAGCAGACATGAAGGTCATCACTTGCGAGATAGCGTGGCACAACAAGGAGCCTGTGTACAGCTTGGACTTCCAGCACGGAACTGATGGGAAGATCAACCGACTGGCCTCCGCAGGTGTGGACACAGCTGTCAGGGTATGTCTCACACCTCTTCTGTTCTGCTTTCTGGCATAAGTAGCATAAAGCATGACACGTACTCTTATCTGAGGTGTTATCTGAGGTATTTTAGGAACTGATGTGGACATCGAGGCCATGGGCAGTGTCCAGAAAAGGACATTGGAGTTATGGAGGGTTTGGGGCATGAGTCTGACGGGGAGCAACTGAGGGAGCTGGGGTTGTTCAGTCTGGAGAAGAGGAGGCTCAGGAGAGGCCTCATCGCTCTCGACAACCACCTGAGAGGAGGTTGTGGTGAGATGGGGTTGGCCTCTTCTCCCAGGTAGAAGTGATAGGATGAGAGCTAATGGCCTGAAGTTGCATCAGGGGAGGTTCAGATTGGATGTCAGGAGCAATTTCTCCTCAGCAAGAGCAGTGAGGCAGAGGCACAGGCTGCACAGAGAAGTAGTGAAGTCACCATCCCTGGAGATGTTCAACAGCCGTGTGGATGTGGCACTGAGGGACGTGGTTGTTATGCTGACCGTTGGACTAGGTGATCTTAGAGGTCTTTTTCAACCTTAATGGTTCTATGAGTGGAATAGATGTTGAGGGCAAAAGCATGAGGTTGTTCACTTGTAGACAGAATGGCTATATCTATGCTTACTGCTCTTGGCTAATGCCGAGTGTCAAACTGAATCTTTTAGAAGATGATCTGTGTTTATTTAGAAGTTGGGCTAGGTGATCTTCAAAGTTCCCTTCCAAGCCCTGTGATTCTGCAATTGAGTAGTAACCCCAAATTTATGGCATCATCTTATGGGTTAATGAGAAACAACTGGTTTTCGTTCCTTTGTGTTCATCACAGTTGATCTTCGTCTGCCTGTTTTGTAAGCTGTCAGCACTGTGGGATCTTTCCACACGCCTTTTCAGTCTTCTCCATGAGCTCTCAGAAATGGTTTTCCGTTGGTGTTAGCAAGCTGTGTTAATCAGTTGTTCTTTTTTGAGAGTCATTTCTGAAAATAATGATTGATTTTGTAGCCTGAGCCACAAAATAAGTGGCTATCAGATTCACCACTGCAAAATCAAGCAGTTGTTTTCTTTCTTATAAATTCTTATTGGACATGAGGACTGTCCCAGTCATTCAGTATCACTTGTTTTTTCTAATAGCCTTAGCGCTCATTGGAAAACTGTGGGAAATCAAGAGCACTGAATGAGCCATATTATTTTTTCGTTGCATGTTAGTCAACTCCTTAAATAAAGTTAGTGGCCTGGCAAGGCAGAGTTTTCATTGCAGACAAATATAATTGACTCAAATGTGTTGTTGCTTTTCTAACAGCTTCTCAGTACGGAAGGTAGATACAGTGCTCAGAGTTCTTCTGAGTACTGCTTGAGCACTTCTGAAATGCTTGCCTCCCTTTTTATTGGATCCAAAAGTGCAATATAGTTAGGTTTCCCATCAGTGCTGGGCTGTTCAGTTCATGTTTGAGTTCCTCTATGTCTCTTCATCCTGGTGATGTGCAGTAAAACAGAAGGCTTGTTTAATCAAAATTCTTCTCTCAAACTCATTCTGGTATGATGACAGATTCCAAGCCAAGAGTCTTCATGTGCTCCTTCGGAATGGACTGGAGGGCAATGAATTCATGCAGGTTTTCTGTGATGTGTGTGTATCTTTCTGTCTGTTTATCTATTTTTGCTGTTAATTTTACATTTTAATTATCTTTTGGGTCTGTTTATATTCTGTCATTCTTCTGTCATCTGATATGTGTGAATAAATCAGGTATGTTGCAAGAGAGTCTTGTTATATGTGTGATAAGCAGGAAAACAGAAATAATAAGGTTTTCTTTTTTTATTACTCCTGCGTTTCCTTCTGAATAGGTAAATGTTCTGTTTTAGCAGAGGATCTGCAGTACAAAGAGCAAATTTGTCTTTACAGTGGGGTGCATTTTGACTGGATCCATGCATGTTCCTTAGGATCCTCAACGTGATATTTTGTGAAATATTATACTTTCATATGTGTTTTGTAACGAATTATCATGAATTGTAACTGTGATATGTGTCTGGCTGGACTGCCTCTTTCTTTTGGAAGTACTAAGTGGGATTCATGTCATGAAAAATTAGGAGTTAATTCCAGTAGTCCAAACAAAACTTTTCCTCAGAGGCAAATTGAGGTTTAGGTTGGACATAAAGAAGAATTTTTTCTCTCAGAGTGGTCAGGCACTGGAATGGCTGCCCAGGGAGGTGGTGGAGTCGCCGTCCCTGGCAGCGTTCAAGAGGCGTCTGGATGAGGAGCTATGAGATGTGGTTTAGAGCTTCTGGTAGCAGTGGTAATGGGAGGATGGTTGGACCAAATGGTCTTGTAGCTGCTTTCCAACCTTGTGATTCTATGATTCTATGATTCTGTGATTCTATGCTTCAGTGCAGTTGCAGCTGTAGCTCAAAGAGGGAAAATTTGTGGTACTGCTGCAGCTTTACCTGCGGAAGTTTCAGATGTTAAGTTCAGAAAGATGGTCCAAGGAGTAAACTGTGAATTCTTGTGAGACGTGTAGATTATACCTTGTTTCCAAAAACTACCCGCAGTGCTTTTGTAACTAGATCTGGAAAGTGGAAAAAGGACCGGATGGAAAAGCTATTGTGGAATTCTTGTCCAATCTCGCCCGCCATACCAAAGCAGTAAATGTCGTGCGCTTCTCTCCCAGTGGTGAAGTCCTTGCATCTGGTGGAGATGGTGAGTAACAGTGCTCAGCGGTGCTGATGAAAAGAAGCTGTGTTTGTGCATTTGGTGAGTGAAGGGGAAAAAGTGAACGTATGAACTTGTTCTTACCTTCTCATGATTTCAGTTTCGGATTCCTATGTGCCCTCTGGCTGTAAGCAGTAAATGCCTGTCATGCAGTTAGTTTTTACGTAACTTACTGCTGGCTGTGAGTCTGAGAAGGAGGGGAGATTGAATGGGTTGCCTAGTGTCGCAGGGAAGCTGCGGCTGAATCTCTGCGTTTCTTCCTGTCTCTCCAGGGTGATGTAGTTTCTTCAGTCCCAGTAAGGACAGCAATAGGTGGGCGTATGTCCTGTGAGACAGAGCTGGGTGTTACCATCTGCACTAGAAGATTTTCAAGAAGCATGACATACAAAACCATAGCCAGCTCTAAAGCAAACTGAAAGTTAAATTGATAATTGCAGGACAAGGGGAAATGGTTCTAAGTTGAGGGAGGGAAGATTTAGGTTGGATGTCAGGGGGAAGTTCTTTACAGAGAGAGTGGTGAGGTGCTGCACAGGCTGCCAGAGAGGCTGTGGATGCCCCGTCCCTGGAGGTGTTCAAGGCCAGGTTGGATGGGACACTGGGCAGCCTGGTCTGGTATTAAATGGGGAGGTTGGTGGCCCGGCCTATGGCAGGGGGGCTGGAGATTCATGATCCTTGAGGTTCCTTCCAACCCAGGCCATTCTGTGATTATGCACTGTACTCTCATTTTACTCTTGGGAATCTACTTTTTTTAATTAAAGCATTATGCAAAAAAATAAAAGGGTAAGGCAGTGTAGGAACATCTCTTCCCCAGTGCAAGTTAAGGTCTGTTCTTCATGTATCATATGTGAGATGATTGTAACATTGAACTAAATATAATGTGTTAGCAAACAAGTGGAAAAGAAGCTTCATATTATTTCTTGTCTAGATGCTGTTATTTTATTATGGAAGCTGAATGATAGCAAAGAATTGGAACCACTGGCTTTTCAGGATGAAGATGAAGCTCAGCTTAACAAGGAGAACTGGACAGTTGTTAAAACTTTAAGGTATTTTAATATTTTTGAGATATTTTTCTATTCAGTGTTTTTGATTCCACAGTGAATTTTATCATTTAGTACAGTCTTTTGTTCAGTGATTTTAGGACTTCCAACACTCTCTAAAATTTGCTTACTGTGAGTTCATCTTTTTATTGTCTTTAATTTCTTTGTTTTGATACAGGGCCAACCTGCATCTTCTGTTACAGCATTTATGCGACGTAAAGAATTTGCATGACATAGCTGATGTGCTCTGAAATTGGTTCCTAAGATTTGCAATCACTTGAACTTTAATGCCTGTATATAAGTAAATGTAAAGTTTTATTTGTTAGCTTTGTAGTGCAGATTTTGATCATTATTAAAATAAGAAACATCAGTAGCTGAAATAGTTTGGGCAGATTTGCCAGATAGAAGCTGTGAGGCTGGAAGAGTCTTTTCCAACTAATTCTTTTAAATAGTTGAAAATCTTCTACACTGGACAGCTTTTGTTTCAAACCATGTTGTAATTAATAAGATAGGCACACTTTGCCTGCAGAGACCACGTAAGTATTGCTGACAGTGCCTAAGGCATCAAACCACTGCTGGTTTGCAGTTGCAGTACTGCCTGTGGTGTTCTGTTCTCACTCCCAGCAGAAGATTGCAAGAAATGGGTGGTTCTGCAATCTGCAGTAGTTTTTTATGAAATGTGTATTTGTTTTGCTTTCTGTGTAGCATCTGTTAAAAGTTTTACTTTCTGTCTATACTGCCAAAATCATTCAGAACTTACACTTGTTTACGAAACATAAGTAACTATTGCTATCCATAACCAATACATTCCTTGCAACTATTGAGATTTCTGTGAGAACAGTTTCAGATGTGCTCCTGAGGTTGCATACAACACCAGCATGATCCTTAGTAAAATTAACTTCTTAAAGCAAACAGAGCCAATCCCCCTCCCCTAAATTTAGTGTTGCAAATATTCATTACCGAAGCTCCCACCCTGTATAATAAACATTCAAACTACAAGCAATATGCATAGCTTTTGATGAAGCCTTTCTGGGTGGTTCTCAATATTTTTAAGCGTTTGTTCAGCTACATCGAATCAAACCTAGTTTTCTGTATTTCTATTGCATCTTTGTTTACTGTTTTTCTGAAACCCCTAAGTATGCAGGAAAGTCTTCATGAAAAGTGACATTTATTGCATGTGAAAAAAGAAATGTTAAAGAAACCTACTTTGGGTAGAAGGAGGATGTGCTTTATAAAACATTCTAATGCCTCTGAGTATGGAAGTTCTGTAGAAGCTGAAAATCGTGCTGTTCCTTTTCTTCAACAGTTCTTTATTTCTCTCTTTGGTTATTTTTTTTTAACCCCGAAACATGTACAGCTGTTACATTTACATGTACCTGTTTGCCTTAATAATCAGTTCCTTTGCTGGCTTCTAGAGGCCACTTAGAAGATGTGTATGATATCTGTTGGACTTCAGATGGGAATTACATGGCGTCTGCCTCTGTAGATAACACGGCTATCATGTGGGATGTCATTAAAGGTAAGTACTGTGTTTTAGCCATTGTGGCTCCACCCTTGATGGAAGTATCCCCAAGTATTTACCAAAGTAATTAAGCACATCTTTATTCAGTGAGAGAACAGTCAACTTAGTTGGTAGATTTCTGGAATTGTGAGGCATATACTCCAGCATATAAAGATACCTTCAGGTCAGCAAAGTTTGCACACAAGTAATCACTTCAGATTACTTGGAAAGCGAATGTTATCCTTTCTTCCCACCTCCCTCAAGCTTGTACTCACCCCACGCTTCCCAGCAAGCAAACAAAACTTGACTGGTATCAAGTAACTACCTCAGCTAAACACAGAAGAATGCAGAAGGCTTCTTTTTTTCCAGGTGTGACATTTTTTTTATGCTTTGTTCAGCAAAACACTTTTGTTCATGCTCATCCCACTGCTGTGGGATTGCTCATATTCTCCAAGAAAAGCCCTGTGGAGGTTGGACCAGTGCAGAATATTTTGGACACTGCAGTTCCCAGCTGTGTGTATATAGCTGCCAATAACCAGCTAGGTTAGGTTCCTTGACAGGAGTTTAATATTTTCTGATTAGCAATGTGATCATTGCTTTCACTTCTGATTTCATCTGGAAATAGTTGACTTTCCTTAAGTATAACATAAATGGATGTTCACTTAGATGTGTGTGTGCTCAGAGGGTAAGTTCGTGCATGGGTATTGTTACCAGATGCCACCTTAATTTTTGATAAAAATGCTGAATGTCCTTCCATTCTTACTGCTTTCTTTTAGCATGAAATTACTGCTTTGGAGGGAATTTGTGTCTTCTAGGCAGTGTCAGAACTAGTAAGTCAGAAGTAAGAAGCCAGTACTGGAAAATGTAGGACTTGTGGTTGAGGTTGTAGGTACACAAAAGTAAAGAGTTTCTAGGAGAGCTTGACCCCTGCTAAAAGATTGCATAGTTAAGGAAAAAACAAAAAACAAATAAAAAAAACCTGACTGAATGAAAATCAATTAAAAAATCCACAGGGCTGTTTAGTACAAAGACAACGTCACTGGCTTATTGTGTAAGTACAAACTTGGAAACTCACAGAACATCCTGGAGAAGTACAGTTAGGTGCTCACTTTCTTCTTATGCTCTTAGGCATCTGTTGTTGGGCACCGAAAACAGGGACTTTCAGACCAGAAGGACTTCTGGAATTTGCAGCCTGGCTTCAACCCTGTGTTATCTTTTCAAAGAGCTGTGTCTTTGAAACAAAACAAGACCGTGCTATTAGAAATCCGTATCCGACAGTTAAAATGAAATATTTTATGAGAATTGCAAGTAACTTTACCTCATCCTAGCACTTTGGATTTCTGCCACTCCACTGTAGAAGGGTTGGAGAGTTCGTGCTTTCATGATAGATTGAGTTGTGAAAGAATGAGTTAGCACTGCTGTGGAAGCGTTTCTGAAAGCTGTGTGAGTAAATGATCAGTCAGTGAGTGTGCAGTGCCTTTTTTCAGTGCCTGCTTGGTGGAGGAAGTGAGTTTCTACAGGCCTGGAACCTAGCTATCTCTAGCCCCACCTGAATGTTACGTTTTAATGCTGGAATTTCTGACTTCTCATACACCCAAAATCAGTTAACTATTGAAAAGTATTTTAGAATTCCGTTAGAAGTTTTTTGTCTACATCAGGAAAATTTTGGTATGCTTTTTAGTTTTGGAATGTGCTCATTTGATGCCTGAACCAAGCTGCTTATCTGAGTTAGTTCACAGGGAACAGCTCTTGAATTGGCATTGCCGATTGGCTGCAACTAGCTGTTTCATTTCTAGAATCTACCTGTTTCCAGCATTCTTGTCAGGTACCACCAGGATAGATATGCATGTTCAAAAGATTATTTGTTTACATTTTAAAACATTCTACTTTGCTTTATTTCTGAAATGAAGAAATGTTTTTAAAGCACATTTGAATTCAGAATTTGGGAACTGTTTGTAATTTCAGGACAGAAGGTTTCAATATTAAATGAACACAAGAGTTATGTCCAAGGAATAACCTGGGATCCTCTAGGCCAGTACATTGCAACTCTGAGTTGTGATAGGTGAGCTGTTGCTCTAAGTGTTTTGCCTTGATGTTTTTTTCTTAAACATACTTTTAACTCATGCTCAGATATGTTATAAATGTGACTTTTACGTGGGCTCAGATTGTTCTGTAAGAAAGCTGAGATGAAGCAACGTGCTGAGTTAGTTAGCTTTATGGCTGTGGTAAGTGATTCCTGAGGTATGAGTGTCTTTTCTAAGTGGCAAATAAGCTTATGTAACCCTTCAAAGAAAATTGTCTTTAGGCAATAAGTTTTCATGCCATTAGTCATTAGAGATACCAGATGCATCTTAAAGAGACTGCTGCATTCTCTGATTGTCAGTGATCTAGTAAGTCCATCCTTATCAATACAGTTTACAGGAAGATATGAACAGGTTAAGTAATCAGTTAAAATGTTTTTCCACTGATACCTTTCTTTTGCCCTCTTGCTCCCTCCCCATCTCCAGGAGTTTTGTAAGTGAAGTCATTGGGAAAGCAAATGCACACTTCATAAAAGCTGGGGCTTGTCAGAACTTTGCAGTTCAGCTTAAACTGTTGAGGGCATGTGTGCTGCTCTGAAGGGATTGCAGCTGGCTAATAAATGCGTGTCATCTGGCACCTGTTGCAGAGAAAATTGCTGTGATAGTGCAGAAGTAGTTTTTATTTAAGATTTGCAATAGGCTCTGAGAAATGATGAGTTAATGACTACTGGTTCATTATGAGCCTCTGTCTTCTGATAACCACTTATGAGAAATTTGTCTGCTTTTACTAAAACGAACAGCAGCAAAATGTGAGTAATAGAGTGATGCACAAGTTTTTCTTGGAGTCAGGTCACAAGCTAGAGCATGAACTAATCTGAATAGAGGAAGTCTCCTACCTCCTCAGGTTTCAGACACTTCTGCAAGGTTGGCAGATATCTAGCTCAGCAAGAGTCCAACAGGAGCCAGAGCTGGTGCTTGGACTGGATGTTCAGCAGCCTGGAGTAGGGAGATTTCCTCCACTTTTGCCAGGCCAGCTTAGCTGTGTGGTACCCAAAGCTTGTAGTTCCACAGCTGCCTCAAACTGACTGCTGGATGCCACAACATCACCTATTTTCTCCTCCTTACTCTGTCAGAACTCTATGGAGCTGTTTCAGCAAATCAAATTGATCTTTTGTTAGGTTAGTTCTCTACTAGCCTAACAAACCAGTGTAACCAAGCAGAGGTTTCAGTGGATGTAAGAGCTGGCAGAAAAGACAGGACTTTTAGACCAGCCCTTAGATTTGCTTTGGCTACCTGCTGTTTTAGGGAGATGAAATCAGCAGAGCTCCAACATTCTCTGTGGTGTTACACTCCAGTTTTCATTTATTCCTAAGAAAACTCAATGAAGGCCCCAAAATGTAGCTAATGGTGAGATGAGTTCCCACATCACAGGAGCATAGTGGCCACTGCAGCACAGGTAGGAATGGCATGGCTGTTTGCTATCCATTAAATTGCTTTATGAACACGTGTGCTGGTACTTTGGAAACATGATTGAGTCAAATAGTTGTCAGCGACTAATTGGTTGCGTAGCCATAACAAATATATCTTTTCTAGTGGTCTCTCATGAATGGAGTTAAAACTTTTGTGTTTGTCACTTAGATTTCTTATATTTGGCAGTCCTGACCAAAAAGTGAAGTGTTGTAACACTGTGTGAAACCTGGGGTGAAAGGACACTGCGAAAGCTAATTGTATGCTGTACTATGTAGGGTTCTGCGGGTATACAACACACAAACCAAGCGTGTGGCATTCAATGTTACCAAGATGCCATCTGAGTCAGGAGCTGAAGGAGAGGTATGTTGTTTCTGTTATTAATGGTACTGGAGAACATGCTGGTGCTATTCTATATCAGTTACTCTGTTTCCTGCAAGCAGAGGAGCAAGTATTTTCCATTCAAATAATCCACACATCACCTGTTTCTGTCTCTGTCTCACCTTTGTGGTTTATATATTTTTTCCTGTGCCATTTTAGAAGCAATTAACAAAACATTGCCTGCTGCTGTTGATCTTTCAGCAAGTTCAGCTGAGTAAAGTCATAACACTGTGCATTTTGTGCACAGTAATAACACTAACATTTGGTAAATGTTAGAAGGAATGATGGAAAAAAAATTGTATGCATGTGAATTTTAACAGACTGAAAACTTGTCTGTCAGATAGTGGCTGTGTGTTTATTGATGGATACAACATGGCATTAATACTTGCAGTGCAGCAGTCTGAAATTTGCAACCAATTCTTAGGAGAAATGGGATTAGAATTTCCTACATTTTTACTGATTTGTTGAAGAGAACCCAAAAAGTTTTTTTTTTCTTTCCCCAAGTTAGTTCAAAGTGATACTAAAATAACAATTCCAAGCTGGTTTTTCAATTTCTTTTATTTATATTTTTTAAACATTTGTAACAATTGCTATAGTGACAGAAGGAGAGGTTTGAGAGAGGGCTCTTTGCCATTATGAAAGTTCTACTTAAACCTCTACTTAAAGAGTTAAAATTAAATGCCTGTGGAACAAGCTTTTACATTGACTGGTACATAATGTTGCTCTGCACGTTATGAGTCCTTGATTACTGGTCTAATGTGACTACTCTTAGAGTGTTTTGATTAGTTGAAGAGGCATTAGGGCCTATTTTTCTTAGCTGTAAAGAGTTAATAGCAAAGAGAGAAAATGAGTTTGAAGGAGCTGTGTTTTTTTAAAATATTTGTCTTTTATTTTAAAAGTTCCATGAGGATGGGTTGTACAACCAGGTGATTTTTTTCTCACTTGAATTCCTGCTGACATATTCATGGCACATGTAACAGTCAAGATTTCAATGTTACAGGCTAGGAGCTATCGGATGTTTCATGATGACAGCATGAAATCATTTTTCCGCAGACTCAGTTTTACTCCTGATGGTTCCTTACTGCTCACTCCAGGTATGTGAGAAGAACATAAGCTATGAAGTGCATTGTTTATACTTGAAGCGTGCATAAAGATTGCTTTTCAGACTAGTGGGGGGGGTTATTTATCTGAATGATGCCATTCCTCATTTATCATCTTCCCCTTGAAGGAAGTAGAGGCTCCACAATACGTTTTCATTAGTGGCTCAGAACTTCAATTTTCTCTGTGATAAAAATGATATTTATGGCATTTTTCTTAACTGAAACGTGGAAATTGCAACGTTTTCTGTTAAAATAGAAATGAGGGGTTATTATTTTCTTCTGACTGTCAGGTCTCGCTTTGTTTGTATTCTTTCTTAAAAACATTATGCAGTTATAGTAAAAATAACATTGCAAGGAGAGAATCAGTTTGCCCTGCAGTTAAGCACAGCATTTATAGATGTCTGGCAACATAAAAAAGAAGCTTTGAGTGGGAATTATGTAAGGGGAACACAAACAGCGTTAAATAAATATTTAGGATGCCTTTTTAAGTTGTATTCAAGTTGCACAGCTCTTGCCCAACTAAATGACAAGTTTAATTCTTGAGAAGTAAAATGTTTATAGACATAAAGTGTACAGTCAATACCTTTTGATTTGATGAGTAATGCTTTTGCCTTTATTTTTGCAGCTGGCTGTGTTGAATCGGGAGAAAATGTGACAAACACCACTTATGTTTTCTCCAGAAATAATCTTAAAAGGTAGAGTTCAATAAGGTGTCAATATTATTTTATTAAAAAACAAAATAATACTAATGAAATGCTGTTTTCTGAAATACTTATTCTTAAAGGCCCATGGGTCATCTGCCCTGTCCAGGAAAGGCAACTCTTGCTGTTCGCTGCTGCCCAGTCTACTTTGAGTTGAGACGAGCACTTAATAAAGGTACTGCAAATCCTTCAGGGAGTATGATTTTTACAGCAAATATGTGAGAAGGCCTATTTGACTGTTTATTTTCAGGCCATACAATTTTATGCCCCAGCCTTTTAACATTCCATTAAGATAGTGTTGTACCACATCTTAGAAGCTGTTTCCTGATTCTAAGACCCTGAATTTACCTCAAGTACCTTGTGAGTAGCTTTTGAAATAGTAGATGAATGCCTTACTTGGCACCGTAGGCTACAAAAATAATTCTTAGTACTTTCCTTTAACTTTTAACCATTCTGCTTGGGGGGGGGAGGAAAAATGTAAATAACTTGGCTTCGCACTAAAGGGGCAATGCAATGAAATATTTTCTTTTAGTCTCAACTACGCACATCACAGAAGCACCACAGAGTTAGTGTAGTTTGCAACACCCTTTGATGTTTATTCAAGGAAGCCAAACCAGAAGGAATGCTGATCTCTGATCAGAATGGGAATTCTGAGGAGGGGAAGAGTGGTATGAAGTTGCGTGAGAACTTACCTGGAGATTGAATTTTAGCCTTCTTATGAGCCCTGTGGGGCAGGAGTGTTTATATTTTAACCAGACTAGTTGTGTTCTGCTGAAAAGGCAGAGTTTTGCTCATTTCAAGCAGGAGTGAAATAAAACCTCTTTCTTTAGAGGATGAATGTGCAGTATTCTTTAGAGGGCTTAGAGATAATCTGTTGTGTTCTGTATTTCCATCATAATATTTAGATCCAGTGCTATTCTGTGGCAAGGAGGTGAGTGTCAGCTGTCATGCTCTGTAGCTCTAAATGCAGTGGTGAGTTTCTGCAGCACGCTCGTAGAGAAGTGAAAATGCAGTAGTCCAGAAATCTGTAAGTGCAAGTACATGTTAATGGCCTGCCTCTTACACTGCATTGCTTCCATAATCACAGAGGTGAACAGGAGACTAGGAATTTTGGAAAGTAGCTAGCTAGCAGTCCAGTGGAAAGCGGAATAATCTGTCCTTACAATGAAACCATGCTGGAAGCAAAAGGCTAGCTAGAAGCTGGAAACCAAGATATATTTCATACGAGACATACAGAATGTAATGTGCAGGCATAAATTTGGGGTGACTTTGATTTAATGTATATCCTAGGAGTTGTTTCTTTAAACTTTGGTGCGTAATTATGTTGCAAAACATAAACTGGGAAAAAACAGACTTTACAAAACAAAATATGAGCAACCTGAATGAACTGAACTTCTGTCTTCTCTCTGAGACGGTAGAACCTATGGACAATGGAAATGTTAATGCTTGCCATTAAACTTTACATTTTATAGCCTTGCTATTTTCTCAGTCATTATTTGATGAGCAATTAAATCTCTGTTTGGTTCACGACTAACTAGTGCAGTTACTACCCTGCACTGAATACAAGAGAGAATTCTCAGTGTTTTCATTTGTTTGCATTGTAGATGAAATCAGTCAGAAATCATCGCCCGCTCTATTGAATCTACCCTATCGATTGGTGTTTGCTGTTGCTTCAGAAGATTCTGTGCTTTTTTATGACACTGAGCAGTCTTTCCCTTTTGGTTATGTTTCTAACATACATTATCACACCCTCAGTGACATTTCATGGTAGGTCATTGTTAGATTCTTAAGATTTGTTGTGTTGGGGAGAACGTCCTGTTTTTGTGTTGAAGCTTTGCGCTGCATCTGGTGTCCTGCTTTATTTTTGAGTTTCATTCATGTCTTTGGTCACTGTCATTGCAATATCTGGACAGCAAGTCATCTTGTTTGCTCTGTAAAGTGGAGAATTACGGTTCTTTGATCAGCTGGGAACCAAGGTGCCAGCAGCCAAAGGACAAGCAGGTGACATTTGTACAGATATATGCACAATAAAGAGCCCATTGTCCAGGGTGTGTACGTGGTAACAGTGATGTTATTTGAGATTACCACGGTCATCTTTGAGTTTAGGTGTCTGCATCGTGGCCAAATAATGCTTTATCTGTATAATTCTTCATGGTGGCTCTTTATGCATAGTAGCTAATCTGGCTTGATGTAGGAAGTCAGAACCGGAGCTGAAAACTGAAGTCAAGCCTCTGCAGTCAGAATAATCCCTCTGCTGGATTGGGCTTGTTAGGCTTTTCTGACCCATATTTCTGAACTGAAGAGCATGTGGACACTTCTTTTTTCAGAAGTTATAATTGATGCTCAGAAACTGAAAATCATTGTGTAACACGAGAAGGGGAATGGAAGAAAGTAGCAGCACAACATCACTGATTAAAAAGGGCACCAAGCCCCTGTCCTTGTGAACACCACAGTGATTCTGAGCATGGCTTCTACTTAGCCTGAGGGTCATAGCTAGAGAGCTTAAATTGCTCTTCTGGTCTGGATGTGCAGAGTTCAGCAATATTTCTGAAACTGTGGCTGAAGATATATGGACCATATTGTGTCCCAGCTCAGATGTATATAGTTTCTGGTAGCAGCACACTACCACTAATCATTGGCAGGGCCAGAGAGATTAAATCAGGTGTGAAGTCAAAATGTGAAGATCTTGTGTTCTTTTGAATTGGATGTTTTTTCACTTGACTGCAGTTTTACTTAGATGTATGTGTGTACTGGGGGAGGGGAAGAAGTATGGATGAGTACAGTGTATGTTATATATGGAGGTGAGTTGGGATTGAAGAAAGTTTTCACCTTTCCCCTTAATGGAAAAAAAATTCCAAATAGGTCCAGTGATGGAGCCTTTCTTGCTATTTCTTCTACGGATGGATACTGTTCGTTTGTTACCTTTGAGAAGGATGAACTGGGAATACCACTGAAGGAAAAGCCTCAAATAAATGTCAGGACTTCTGGTGCAACAGAGAAGAAAGTGAAGAAGAGTCAACCACACAAAGTCATTTCCCCAGGCTCAAGGCTGACAGAGGGAACTCCTCTGAGCGCTCCCACTCTCCAACCTAAAACGCCTGTAGCGGCTGCTAAGGACTTGCCTTTCACACCTGTTGGCACAAAAAGTGTTCCAGTCTCATCTTCAGAGGAGAGGAAAATCAGCCAGCCGGCCAGCCAGAGTACTAAAGGAAACCAGCCCAGGAGGATTACTCTCAACACTTTACAAGCGTGGAGCAAGACGCCAAGGTGAGATTTATATTGCCATTTGCAGTCATAAATATGAAGGCCAAGACAAGCTGTGCTTGTACTACATTTAAAGGTTTGAGGTTTAGATATAAATTCCTGGTCTTGACCTGGAACTTTTTGTTCTAGTTGTACTGCAACTATACGGTCAAAATGTCTTTAAAATCCTAAATGTAACTCTCATATTTCTGTCTAAAACGTGAGGCAGTAGCAAAGTTAACCTGGCTCTTAAGCCTTGTTGAAATGGCAGACACAGTTGTCTGTTTTTATGTCCCACTTTCTAGAAAGATGGTGCCTTCAGCTGACAGGGAATATTATGAAACCCTTCTGACAAGAAGTATTTCGAGAAGTAAAGAACCAGATGAATGGGTCTTAAAGCACTGCATGAAGATATTCCATAGGGTGAAGATTTAGATGTTTTCAGAAATTGCCTGTGATTCAAGTATTGATTGTCACACATTCTACAATATAGTCACAGAGCCTGCAGTGTAAGATCCTGAGCCGATACACACACAATTAGAAGTCAAGACATTGTCAGCAAAGAAAGGCTAATTTTATGATTTAGGAGCCTATTGGTATTTCTCGAAGGAATAAATCGATTACTAGGTAGCTAGAGAAAAGGTGGTCATTGAGAAAGCAGGTTCTGGGTTTCATCGTCAGCTGCAAAGAGCAGTCTTAGAGAAGGTGACTGCAGGATGATGGCTTTCTGTACATCAATGATCACATGTACGAGGACTAACAAATGAAGGGCTAACTAGAGAGTCGAAAGTGACTGTTGTCTGGAGGGCAGGGTGACTGATGGAGCTAGTTAATCTTGAGAGATAAGCTGTATTTTATCATACCAGCTAATTATACAGTGTCTTCGTGTAGTAGCGTGCATGGTGCTGCCTGTAAGATCTGTTTTTTAGTAGATCAGTTAATCCTCTGCCACTTTTCTTATTTTGTAAGTGTCATCCACAAGATGTGATGTAAAGAAATATTTTATTTTGTTGTTGTTGTTCTGGCTTGGTTTGTTTATTTTTAAAAGCACACTTCAATGATCAAAAGAATCCTCTAGAGTTCTATCAGTCAAAAGTGTTAATGTTGTGGATGGGGCTAGACCAGGAATAGTAACCTGTTGCAGTGGAATTGGAAGCCTTAGCAGGTGTCAAGAAACAGGTTAAATTCTTTGCCTTTTCAGCCAGTCTTTGCTTTAAAATATTTGACCAAAATAACATACTCTGTAGGATTATTTCAAATACAACATATGAAAAAGTATTTTGTTGTAGAAAAAGACAAATAAAAAGATGTGTAGTTGTATTCAAAGAACTTCTGAAAACGTCCTACTTGGCATATCAAAGAAGATAATGTTTAGTAACTTATTTCCAAACAAGACCTAAATTTAAATTACTGTGTGTCAAATAAATCTTCAAATAATGTAATTGAACTGTTTCTTCTCTTTCAAAGGAGAATAAACTTGGTATCACTGAAGCCAGAAACACCAGCCTCAGTATATACAGACACGGTTCCTGTGCCTCCTTCCTCAGAACAGGAACATGGTAAGTTTTTGTGCTGCATCTTAATATACAGCAAAATTTTTTGCCAGTCTTTTTTTCCGTTATAAACTTCTATTACAAGCCATAAAGATCTCAAATCAAGCACAGATGTAAAAGTAGTTGCAGATTGTAAAGCTTCTTCATTATGTAGGTGTGTTTGAAAGGTGCTTTTGACTACATGAAGTGTGTTGTTCTCACTGCAGTTGTCTCAGTTGCTCATGTGACAGTATGTTACTGCAGTTCAATAATAATGGTGCCATTAACTGACATTTGAAATGCTGCAGAATAAACTTACTTGTTCTGCAGATCACACAGGTAGGTTTTAAAGACACCTGAAGCTTGTTTCATGTGCTGGACTCTCAAACCAGTTTCTCAAGTATTTAATTGTTCATGAATCAACAGACCAATGACTTTAATTTGCTTGTTTCAGAGAGGCCATTACCATCTGATGACAGTCTTCAAAATTCCCCAGCATCTAAACGTCCTAGAACTGAGGAAATGCCTCTTTCTGTGTCTGCTGAAGATCAGATCGGCTGCAAACCAAACAAATAACAGCTGGTTTCTTAGAAGACTCTTCAATCTGAACACAGTGCGGCCGTATCTTTCTGCAAATGATAAATCCTCAATTCCTGATTGAAGTACTGTATGAGTATTTGACATAGTGCTGTGAGTAGTCTGGCAGCAGTAGGCAGTTTTCAGGAACGTAGCTTTACGGAAGAGGAAATAACTCTGAAGTGTCTTCAAAGTGTGGATCTATTTCTTGAAGACTGCGTTCTTTGATGCTGCAGTTCAAGGAAATCATGCAAATTTGGCTATCAAAAAGCCATACCCTAACCTAAGTGTTTCCATCTGAATTTCCTGAGTTGGTGTTTATAATGGATCGTGTCCTCCAGCAACCTGTCTGGCAAGTAAATAGAATTTCTCAGGAATTGGGTTCATTCTGATTTGATGTTGCTTAAGGAAAATGGAAGAAACAAAATACCTGAAGCTGTTTCACTGGGGCAGTTGGCTTATACATTGTAACAGTGTGCTGAATAATCGGTGCTCTCCTGTACCTGTGGAATGGAAGCAAACCTTCTTACGCTCTGAATGTGGCAGCATGCAGTGTGGCTGATACTGAAATAGAAATCAGAAGCTAGAACAGCAAAAAAACAGAAAGCAGAAGGAAAACGTTTTCTGAAGACCTGTTATAAGCATTGAGCAGTGGAAGAAGCTTCTTCACTGAACGAGGAAGTGTCTCTATTTACAAAAATGAAGACATGACATTTTCCTGAGGCACCAAGATTTGAATTTGTACACTAAAAGTGCACAAAAAGCTTTCCCCAGTTCTTTTTTTATAACTCAAATTGTTTTGGCCAACAAAATAAAACATGAATCCAATGTATGTTACACTTTTAAAATCTGATTTATTTAATATTTCCTATAATTAAACTATGACCTACAGTTGGAAACCACTGCACTGAATTTTATCTGGTGTGTGAAGACTCCAGAAGTAGAGTGCTCAGCCACAGCATTCCAAGCCTATCCATTTCATTAGTTTTGTTTAATATCAGGTATTTATTTGTGAGAAGATAATACTTAAAATGTAAATAGTTATTCTAGTAAATAGTTATATCTAGTTAATGATAACATGTAGACAAAAAATTCTCTTGTGATTTAGTCCATACTTTTCTGTCATGAAGTTCTGAGATGCATGGGAGGGGAAAGCGAGAATGGGTATTAAATCTCTTCGATTTCCCTGGATTTGATTGTTTTTCAGGTGTCTAATTAATGTTTGTTTTCTGTCATTCTCGAAGCGTATAAATGCATCAGACATGCAGAAATAGAAATGTTTCAAAAGTGTTTCATAAAAATTCCACAAAGAAATGCTTACAGATACCTATCCCCCAAAAAGTTTCAGGCAAATAGGAATATGTTAACTACAATCAAACTTCAACAGGAGTTAATAGGAACTAACTGTATTTTTCTTTAAACCACTGAGATGAGGGTAGAACTTTACTAGACCTAGCTACATCTGAAACAGTTTTTTTCCCTGAAGTCTGTAGAAATAAAATTTGTAGAGATCTGAATTGTTAGCTAAAAAGCAAATATTTGTAACTAATACAGTAATGCATTTGTGGTAGTTGTTTTTTTTGTTTGTTTGTTTGTTTTATATCTGTTGCTAACACAACACTGCGTGGTTTGGGGTTTTTTTTTTTTGCTTGAGTTATAAGAACAGCAGTATTTCATGTTTCTGTGGGACAGCGACCCACTTAATACTTCAGAGATTCATTTTGTGCACTGCAAAGGATCCTTTGAGTTCAAACTTACATTTCTAAATGCTGATTGCAAAGCTATCCTATTGGTTGCTTTGCTTTTTCTTTTTTTTTTTTTGTTTTCTTACAAATTGCATTTTGTCATGAGCTTCTTTCTGTTGAAAGCTGTAAGATTGAATATGTTATTTAAGTGTTAATGACATAACAGGCCTTTGTGCTCTTTGAATGTAATTACTTACCAGAGTATTAGTCTTCGTTTCATGCCACACACGTTCTGGTAACACCCACATTTGTTTATATAGTTACTAGCCTATTTTCTCACTGCTTTGCAATGCAATTGGATTGGTAGATTTATTGACACTTTCACTGCTTCCATTTGGAGATTATTTCCACATCATCATCTCTGTCATAATGTTACCTGGTATTTTTTCTTTCCTAACAAGGACTTCTTTCATTAGGTTTAGTTTTTCTTCTGCTACTATAATTTCATACTTCCCTTTTCTATTCATTCTCTGTTAGTTATGTTCTACTTTGTTGTTAAGAGGCAGCAAATCAGTTTTAAACTTGGGAACTGCAGAACTCTTCACTGGGTGTCCAGAACCTGCACCCAGTCAAAAATATTTTGTAGTTGTATGTATCAGTATCCTCGCAGCAAATCCCCTGAAAGACCAAATAAACAGGATTTTGATACCGATTTGTGTTCTCTGAGGTGAAAGTAGCACCATCTTCTGTACCTGTTGGGCCACGATGCACAGGGATTACTGAGTCTCCCTGTCTCTGGAGACAATCGCTGTAGGGCTGGATGGGGCTCTGAACAACCTGATGGAGATGTAGGTGTCCCTGTTCACTGCAGGGATGTTGGACCAGATAGCCTTGAAAGGTCTCTTCCAACTCAGAATGGTGTTGCTGCTGTGCCTGCTTCATGACCATCCCCATCTCTTGGCACCGATTCATCTGCCTTTTTACTGTAAGACTGTTTCTGCTTCAGTCGGGTGATGAGCTTCCAGAGGCATTCCAAGGAGCTGCTTGTCACAAGGAAAGAAACCATCATCTTTTTTTTTACTGCGACTTGCAAGATTGTCATCATCCATCAAGAGAGCAAATTTTATTTGCCTGTTTCTCTGTGGACTCCTAGCAAAAAGTTACGGCTCTTTTTCCAAAGCCCAGTCTCCACACCATGTGGGCAGCAGCAGGAGCACCAACTTCTGCCAGCTCAGTCAGGGACTTTTCCATAGCAAATATCTACCTTGCAGGAGATGCACGTTCTGTTTATGTTGTGACTTCAGGGTCACTTGAGACCATAGGAAATCTTAGCAGACACTTTGATCTATTTAATGAAAGGACTTGACACCCAGGCTTCTATCAGACAGATTGCTTACCAAGAGCGCCAGAGATTCTGTGGATAAAAAGAACCTTCAAACCTTGGAATCACCTCAGATATTCTTCAGACAAAATCCCTGTAGGAGCAATCATGAACCATATAGTTCTGTTGTTGCCTCTCCTGCTTTTCTTGCTGTAAAGGCAGACATCTCTCAGGCACTGGTCTTCCTATTTAGTCACGTAAGGCTTTTGGACTCAGGGTGGCTCAGTCGTTTGTGATGCCTTGCAGTCCTTTCAGCTTGTGCTTCCTGGGGGTTCCCTCCATAAGAGTTTACTAGGACTGTTAGCATGCAAATTTCAGTAAAATCATTAACTCCTTCACACTATGGAGGAATTGCCCATTAACCCCTGGGGCTTAAGCTATCCCATGCATTTTGAGAATGAGGAAGGCCATAATAAGAGCCTTCAAACTGTGTTGGGTCTTGATGTCAAATGGAATGATCGTCTTTCTTCAGAGGCTATAAAGGCAGGTTATGAACTCTTGACAGAATATGTCCTGAAACTTCCAAGATGAAGCCACTTCTGATGGAGCAAAAACTGTTGAGTGGAGTTTTTTTTCTGATGAAACGTAATCTTCCTTTGGATGCTACTCAAGCAACCACATAGAGATTTCTTAAATGTTATGTTACAGGAAAGGCATGAGAATTGTTGCCATTCTCGGTAGAAGCAGTGCCACCGTTGTTTTCCATGTGAAGGATTCAGAGCTTCTCTCTCCAAGTAAATTTAACCACATACATTTTTCAGCCTGTTTGGCACCGTGGAGACCACAGTGGAGCGCTGCATCCAGTTCTGGCCTCTCCAGAAATATGGAGCTCTTGGAGGAACCCTCATGAAAGGCCACTAAGATGATGAAGGGGTCTGGAGCATCTCCCTATGAGGAAAAGTTGAGAGAGCTAGGACTGTTCAAGCTACAGAAGAGATGGGTTGTGGGGATCTCATCAGTGCCTATAAATACCTGGAAGGAGGTTGTTAAGAAGATGGAGCCAGACTCTTCAGTGGTGCCAGTGAGAGGATAAGAGACAACGGGCACAAGCTGGAACAAAGTTTTCCTTTTTCAGTTACATGTACCTTACTTAACTGACCTTTTAAAAGGTCATCTTTATGTCTCAATTCTGCATGTTATTTTATTTTAAATGCGTCTATGTAATCATTTACCAATGTCAGAAGAAAAAAAAAGTTCTTTGTTCTTTTGATCTATTTTGATCTATGTGCCCTTTTTTCTTTTGTTGATGAGTTATTGTTTAGTTGTACGAAGTTCAGCCCTTGGCTCTAAAAAGCCCTAGCTGCAGCTCCAAGTGAGATGTAAAAACAAAGTGCAGAGTGCCCACTAGATGCCGCTGTTCTAACAGGATTCTTCCTCTTGCGGTTATGGCGGAGAGTGATCCAGGCAGCAAGAAAACAGGTTTTAGTAACATGTTGTAATTGAATCTATATAACAAATATAAATTATCAACAAATAAATTGATTTTATTATTTTGACAAGCTTCCTTTTAAAAGGATGTGTTTGGTTTTTGTTTATTATGTCCGTATCACCATATCCCTTAGAGTCATAGAATCACTCAGGTTGGAAAAGACCTTAAAGATCATCAGTCCAACCCCGACCTAACCATCCTACCCTAACTCCAACAGCCCTCTGCTAAATCATGTCCCTGAGCACCACATCCCTTCTTTGTTGGGAGATCCAAGATAACAGACCTGAAATACCACATGCAGCCCTAAACTTGCCAGGAATCTCTTAAGCATCATTTCTGTCACGAAGCTATTTGAAGAGGGTATAGGAAGGATCTGAAATGCGTATGGGCCATCTGGTTGGTGTGTACTTCAGGACCACTTTTGGATTGTCTTTCCAGGAGTTCCCAGATTGTGATACATATATTGCTGCATGTTTTCATGCCCCACCCCTATGTCAAAAGTTAATTGTGTGTGTCCGTATTACAGTACCAGCTTGTCTGTTCTGATCTGTCTTAAAAAGTTGCACTGCCTTTTTATTTATCTTCTAGCCTATTAAAAGGAAATGCAGAAGATGAGGGCAGTCACAAGTAGCTGTGTATCCACGAGAGAGTGGCCACGGAGGGTGTGAGGGCAGTATGGAAGCAATCCCCTCACGTAAACTGTGTTCTCTCTGCAAGAGCAAAAGGACAACTCCTTAATTAGTGTCATTTTTATTTATTTTTGCCTGGAAATGTACTTTCTGTTGCTTCCAGCTTGTGTCAGACTGGTGCTGCCCAGTCAGGGTCTTTTCCTCTGCTGAGTTATTAGTCATTGCCATCACAAGGAATACTTGCTCCTCAACAAAAACGTATAGATTTACTTCCTTAAAAAGAAATAATTCAGTGAGCCACTGAACTATTGATACCTTGTTTCATACAGGAATATAGCAACTTGCACTAGTGTTTTCAAACAGGCTTTGCAACATTTTAGATTGAGTGGTTTCGCTACTGTTTTACTGCTGGAAGGACTTTTTGGTGTGTAATAATAGCTAATTTTTAGACAGCTGGACATAATGCTTTCTGTGCTATCAGTGCTAGTTTTATTTTTTCCTCTATCTGGCTACCTATATTAAATACATCCCATTATTTAATCGCTTTTTATCAAAACTTGGTTAGTATTTCCTTATGGATTCAAAATGGAATCTCTGTATTGTGTAGCTTAAGCTCCTGCCTCACAAGCAGGAAATAACCATAGGGTGCTGAGGCTGTCACATGAACTTTCATCCCTCTATATTTACTTGCAAAGAGGACAGCTCTTACAGCAGTAGGCAGAAAGGCCCAAATCTCTTAGGTGCTCACTGTGCTCTCTTGAGTCCAAGTGGGAAATCTCGATCAGACAAATGTGAGACAGTGTCCGTTCCTAGTGATACCTCTGGATTTTCTCTTCGCTGTGTAAGGAGTAGGAAGGGGCCATAGTTATTGAGAAGAATGCAGGTAAAAACAGAGGTGGCTGTAAAAAAAGTCAGTGGTGTGGATTAAGATTTTTGAGCTGAGCGTAGAGATACACTCAGGAGGAAAATGCAGCAGACTGGCATCAATCAAAATATCTCCTCCATGCTGCCAGCTGTGAAACAGAGCACAGCCTCTCCTAATCCACTCATCAACAGTCTCAGGCAGATCTGAAGGCTTCTCCAGCAGGAGCTGACACTGCAGATCTTCCAGTCAGTTGACCTCTGATGAGTCAGTATCCTGAGTTGGGGTAACAGACAGTCAAAGCTACAGCAGTGTGGAAGGCTGGGTGCTCACACATCCAGCGGTGCTTCTGGTCTGGGGAGCGGTCAGCCAAACGTTCTGATAGTTTTAATGGAAACTCTATTGTGAATTTGGATGCTGAGGGAAGCCTACCAGGCAAAGAGCGCTCAAGATGCAAGACAGTACTAAATGTGCAAGGTATTTCTGTCCCTTTTCCACCACATTCCAGATACGAATAGGAGATCTAGAGATCTATCGGGCCTTCTTTGGCAGCACTGCCAGTAGTTCTGATGCAAAATCCCCAGATTTAGTGCCAATTATTCTCTCTGACCAGCTTGGAACTCCATAAAGCAGGTCTATTCTTCGTCCCATGAGGTTTTGGGGGCACTGCCATTTTCTTTATGCTGTTGTTTTTTTTCAGAGAGTTGGCAGAGCAACCTATGGATGCCAAGGTTCCCCTGAATTTGCAGCTTCAGCCTTCTGTGAGTGTGACCTTTGCATATTCACTACTCTCTCTAGTCCTCTTTCCAAAGGAGGCATGAGAGAAGGAATAAGTACTCTGCTGTGGACAAATGAACTTGCTGAGCCCTCCCTTCCACCAGCGTGGCCTGACCTTGCCTTTCTGACTTAGTGTCCTGGGCTGCAGGTGCTCTAGCATCAGCAGAGGAACTGGAATTTGCAAACAGAGAGCAGTTAAGCTTTTCCCCTGCCAGTTCCCTTTCATGTGTGCCAAACATACAAGAGTGTTTTTCTTGAGCCTGGCAGCCACTTTCATCCAAGTGATATTGCTGAGAATGCGGCTGCTTACTCCCTCTACTGAAACCCCAAAAAGCCACGGCCTGGAGGCCTCCTGGCCTGCAACTTGAGAGGGTTTGCTTCTGGGAGCATGAATAATTAAAAAGGTTCACAAATTTCTTTCTGTCTGGAAACTGTTCTTAAATCTGGGCTTGTCCAGGGACTGTGAAAACCTGATCCTGGTTCTCATGAAAGCAGAAGATCTTTTTGTATCTTTTTAGCATGGACTGATGAATGTCTGAGATCTCCAAAGCTTTGGTGCTAAAAGTTTCCTTGTGCCATGCAGTTACAGAGATGTTAGATTCATTCTGTGCTTAAGTGCTCGCACACACTCTAGCCTAAGTTTATATCCTTTCTTTTCCCTTCATATTTTACATCTCCAAACATTTTTCTTGCTACGACTTATATTAACCAGAAAGCCTTCATTTTATAGGGCCTTATTTCTCTGACACTTGCATGGTATGATTCTTAGGCACATCAGCAATGATTATAAATAATGTCAGATTTTGTCTAGGTATAAAATTTTCCTGTGCACTTAACCAGCAAAAATAAATAAATAAGCTATGCAGGCATATTTATTTGAAATAACTTAAAGTAGGCGTTCTTAAATTTTGTTTGCTAAGGGAAATAGGCCAGATTGAAATGGAAATGGATATTTGTATATATTAGCCTGTTTAATTGAACTGGTTTAAAACCATGCTTTGGGCTAAATGAATGCCACCTACTACATACTGGGCACTGTGGGACCTTTGTGGATGTTTTTATTTTGCCTGTCCTGGCACCAGCAAGGTTGCACCAGCTGGATGTACTTATGCATAGTGGGGCATAAAATAAGGTATGGATTTAGTCTGCAAGCAGAAGAGAGATAATATGTTGGCTCTGTGCTCCAGCATTTTGAACTTGTATTTTGACTCTACAAAAAAGCTGCATCTCTGGCTGTATGATAATTTATTACAAGAAGGCAATGTCTGCGGCCAGCAACAAGCTAAATCAGTGTGTCTCACATGCATATATGGTGATAACACAACCAGTCTTGCTGCAATATTTCGTCTGGATTCAAGTGTGTGTGCTTGAGAGCAGACAGTACAGTAACAAAGACGAACAACTGGTTATTGGAATGTGTCTCACAGAATGGTCTGTAGTGGGTACAGTGTGTGTATGCATACCTAGACTGTTCTCCAACCAGGAAAACTGGAGTGTCTTGCAAGTGCCTGTATGGATTAGTTCTTTGTAGAAGTGCTGTGAGTAAATACACTTTTCTTTCTGTTTTGTTCGTCAGATTCCCAGAAATAAGGAAGCAGTTTTCAGAATGGAGTGGAAGTTTACAACAACTTATAAATCATGCGTATGCACGCGTTCTACTTTATACAAAATTTGCAAAAGCCCAGGTCATGTTGTGATGTGGACATCTTTTGTCTCGTCCATTTTTTGGTCAGTGTAGAATTGCTTGTTGTGATTATGCAGAGAACAGCATGGGAAAAGAGAGAAAATAACATCATTGAAAAGAACAAATCTTCCTAACAGTAGTCAGAGAAACTAATTATGGCATTTGAACTTTAACACTTATAAACCATTGCAGATATGAAAGGTATGTAAAACCACGATGTAAAATGACTATTCGATCTTCCTTACTGCTTTCTGCAGGAAGAGGTAATTCTCAGTTTTCTATTTTCTTGCAGAATAGCTCAAGGTTGATTTTGGAGTGAATTCTTAAGTGTTAGCTATAAATCCCTGAGGATAGGGATGATAGTGAAAGGAGTAATGTAACTGTCTATTGTACCCCCTAGGGTAGTTACCTTGTAGGAAAGTAGCTACTGGTAATCTATAATAATAAATATCAGCATTAAACATTGCTTTTTAATTTTAACAGCAGGATTCAGAGGATGCATTCTGCTTTCTGATACTTAATAAATTCAGGATCGTGCCTGAGCATTTGCTTACAGTAGCCACATGATGGCAATATTGCTAATCTTTAACTTTATTTGTTCAACCGCCTCGCTAGCTCTGGTTTTGATTCAGAATACAGTATGTAGTTCTTCAAAAATACTGAAGTTCTCTGTCTTTTAAAGGAAAACTCTCATGTTTAGACTTTATATATGTCGTATCTGTTGTGAATTTGGCCCATGGTTACATCCCTGATTTCAAAGGGAAAAAAGAATACTAATGCCATTGTGAGAACACAATAAGTGCTACATATGGGTGATGCTGAGACTCTGGAAAGGTGCATTAGCCATGAAATGGAAGAATACCAAAAGAAGAAAGGTTTAAGAGATGTTTTCTGGGTAACCGAAGGCACAGAATTTTCCAGTCTGATATTTCTGATAAGCTGTATGGAGCAAACGCCTTTATGAACTGTGCCACAAACATTTTCACTCTCTGCATTAAAGGATGTACAAAGCTTGGTGCATGCCATGTCTGCTGCCTGGCATGAGGAGGC